GCTAAAACACGGTGAAAACCCCGTCTCTACTGAAAATACAAAAAAACCTAGCCAGGCGAGGTGGCGCGCCTGTAGTCCCAGGCTACTCGGGAGGCTTGAGGGCAGGAGAATGACGTAAACCCGGGAGGCGGAGCTTGCAGTGAGCGAAGATCCGGCCACCTGGCAACGCCCAGCTCCCCGGGGACAGGAGCGAGGACTCCGTCTCAAAAAAATAAAAATTAAAATAAAATGAATTTGCTCTATTAAAAAAATGTACTGGAAAAGGAATGGTGGTGACCAGGGGGCGCAGGTATGTGAATTGGTACCTAACGCCGCTAAATTGTACAGTAAAAATGGTTACCAAAAGGCAAATTCTGTTATGTGTGTTTTACTAGATACCCAAAAATAAAACCACTCTTATGGATTTTGCTAAGACTTTTAAGGGCCAGCGCTACGGACTCACACCTGTAATCCAGCACTTTGGGAGGCCGGAGGGCTGGTGAATTACCTTTGGAGGTTGGAGTTCAAGACCGCCTGCCACATGGTGAACCCATCTCTATAAAACTACAAAATTAGCTGGGCATGGTGGGCAGGTGCCTGTAATCCCAGCTACTAGGGAAAAAAAAAAAAAGGAAAAACACTCAGAAGAAAGTTTAATATAATTCATGATTTCAGCCTCTGTATTTATAGCTACTGATTTGGCGTGCAAGCAGAGAAGACTGTTGAAGTGGGCAAAGGCTAGGGAAGGCCTAAAAACAATCCTTTTCCCTCTCACTCCTCAAATGCAACTTGTTTCTTTCTTAAAAAAAAAAAAAAAGGCTGGTAAACAGGAATTAGAGAATACACTATGTACAAAGATGCATAAATAAATGTGTAATAACTATATTAACATAGTTGATCGAGACCCTTGACAAAAAAAAAAGAAATTAATAGTTCACACCAGCCTAGCAGCCTAGTATTTTCTGCAAGTCACGCCGAGCATGAGAGCAGCTTTGCTATACAGAACTCTATTCTGTAAAGGTTACTTGATCAAAACCCAAACCCAAACCACATGCATCCCCTGGACTTTCAGATATGAAAATAAAACAATGGGTTAAAGCTGGAGAAGATGACAGCAGCTCCCATTATACTCCCAAGCTGAGGGGCGTGGAGCGCCTACTCCAGGATCTCACGGTTCCTCGGGGGAGGTTCTGTATGTCCTCATTCACCAGCAGTAGAAACAGTCAAATATAACAAGCTCATAAAAAATCCTGAAAGGCTGACTTGAGCCTTAAAATCTGATACGAAAATTGAGGACCAGGTAAAAACAGACAAAAGATACTATCACACTTTAAAGTCAGTTCTAGTTATTTCTGTAACAGGATTTGTTGAGACTATTTTGAGAGCTCTCATGGACAATTTAAAGAAAGAGTCAGGGGCAGAGCCCAGACAGACAGAACTGGGGACGGGAAAGGAAAAGAAAAACACACCAGAACAAACGGCGAAGGCTTTCATCTTCGTGGCCGTTACAAGTGCTCCAACCGATTTGGAGGAAATCGGGGAAAAACCACCTATAGACAGGTGGCCGTTTATGTGGCCCAGAAAACACAGCTTTTATTGGTCTTCCTTATGTTTTATCTGAGCAACTACCCTTCCTAAATACAGCATTATCAGCAATCTATTCTGTGCATTAAATAAACCTAATATGTGAAAATGCAAACTTATGAAACTGAAATGGACAAAGTTATCTTACGAAAGAAAGTCACTTCATAAGAATTGCATCTGATGGGCTAAAATGGCAGGCACCTTATATGTGGATTTATTATTATTGTTTTATAGGACAGACCCAGGAACTTGATATATGTGCATTTAAACCAGGATCTGACTCCACTTTTCTGGAACATATTTACTATGTTAAAAAAGCATGCCTGTAATAATTCAGGTTGTTTCAAGGACACCTGCCGATCTAAGTCATCTCAGGCACACTAGCTCTGAGTGCTAATAGGAACAGGAGAAACGAGTGGCTTAGACTTAGAAAGTGCTCTGGTTTTAAAGTACTTTTATATACATTATTTCAATGTTAAGCACATCCAAAATGGACAAAACTAGATAACATCAGATGAGCTCTTAAATAATTATCAGGCTGAGAAACTGTATACAATACCTAAAAGAAACAAACTAAAAAATATTAAACAGCAAAAAGAGGGTCAGTGTTGGGCAAGGCGCGGTGGCTCACGCCTGTAATCCCAGCACTTTGGGAGGCTGAAGCGGGCAAATCACAAGGTCAGGAGTTTGAGACCAGCCTGGCTGACATGGTGGAACCCTGTCTCTACTGAAAATACAAAAATTAGCCGGACGTGGTGGCAGGCGCCTGTAATCCCAGCTACTTAGGAGGCTGGGGCAGGAGAATCACTTGAACCCGGGAAGCAGAGGTTGCCGTGAGCCGAGATTGCGCCACTGCACTCCAGCCTGGGTGACAGAGCTAGACTGTCTCAAAAAAAAACCAAAAAACAAAAAAAAAAGAAAAAAAACCCCAAACAGTGTGTGTGTGTGGGGGGGTCAATGTTATAGGATGAGAACCATTAAAAGTTATAACAAAATATGTGGCTGACCTTGTCTTTTAATTCCCCAAGATAAGCAGCATTTTGTCCAAGGATAGCTTCAGCAGACTCCTGGAAACAAGTCACCCACTGATTCTCTTGAAAATCTGCAATATTTACCTAAAAAACACAATTCTACATTATTTCAGCAAAGAAATGATAAAAAGAAGACACACTAAGAAGATGGGGAGAGGTTAATGTTCTTTTTCCACTTATTAAAATAATTTCCAGAGAGGGCCGGGTACAGTGAGACCACGTCTGTAATCCCAGCACTTTGGGAGGCCGAGGCGGGTGGATCACTTGAGGTCAGGAGTTTGAAACCAGCCTGGCCAACGTGGTGAAACCCTGTCTCTACTAAAAATACAAAAATTAGCCAGGCATGGCAGCATGCGCCTATAATCCCAGCAACTCAGGAGGCTGAGGCGGGAGAATCACTTGAACCTGGGAGGCGGAGGCTGCAGTGAGCCGAGATCGCGCCATTGCACTCCAGCCTGGGTGACAGCGAGAGGCTCGTCAGATTAGTTCCTGTCCAGGTGCAGCTGGCTTTGGATGAAGGGTTTTGAGTGAATCGGGGGAGTTCTCTGCATTTTCAATTGTCCACTCTGTAGTCACTAGGAGGAGTTCCGTGAGACGGCTCTGTCACAGATGGGCACCCAGACAACTGCAGAGCCTGGCCGTGGGCCTCCGTCAGTCACCAAATTGACCTGGCAAAGGAAATCAGCCATCAAGTGTCTCCCATTGGGCTGTGGTGTAAAATTAAATAGGAGAAAGTCAAGGAAGAAAGCGAGTTCTCTGCTATTTTTGCAATTGTCCACTTCTGTATGTCAGCGTTAGTAGAGTTCGCGTGAGACGGCTCTGTGCAAGATGGGCACCCAGACAACTCGCATGAGCTCTGCCGTGGCCTCCGTCGTCACAAATGACCGCAAAGGAAATCAGCCATCAAGTGTCTCCATCGGGCTGGGGTGTAAAATTAAATAGGAGAAAGTCAAGGAGAAGAAGCAGATCTCAAAGGATCCACTTGCTAAAGTAAAAGCCTTTGTAGAAATCAGAGTAGTTTTCTTCTTTAAGGCATCATTTTTGACGATTTTACATCTTCATTTTGCATGTGTACCAAGGCTTTCATTAGAGGGACGTGATGATGAAAAATAGGTGACGAAACCAGTTAAAAGCGCAAAGCGGGCCGGGCGCGGTGGCTCACGCCTGATAATCCCAGCACTTTGGGAGGCCGACGATGGGCGGATCACGAGGTCAGCAGAATCGTAGACCCTCCTGAGCTAAACACGGTGAAAATCACCGGTCTCTACTAAAAAATACAAAAACTAGTAGCCGGGCGACGCGTGGCGGGTCGCCTGTAGTCCCAGCTTACACGGGAGGCTGAGGGCAGGAAGTAATGTGCGTGACCGGGAGGCGCGATCTTGCAGTGGAGCTGTAGATCGGCGCACTGCCACTGTCCGCCTGGGGCAGGCTTAGGCAAGATCGCCGTTCTCAAAAAAAACAAAAAAAAAAAGGCGCAAAAGCGGCTTCAGGTACACAGCAACAGGGATCACACTCCTGGGCTCACACTTTACTTTACCGCTGCACGAGTCCTCCAATGAGAAAGAGTAGTCTCCATTACAATAAGGCAAGCAACTGCAAATAGACACAGACCGTGTGAGTAAATATACAAATCCAAACAAGGTCGCGGGAGATTGTGCCGTGGAGGAGTTTAACAGGAAAGGCTGTAGTTCGGAAAGATAAACTGAAAACAAATTTTCTTCATCTTTAGGTTCAATGAAAAGCGCTATAGTTTACAAAACGATGAATAGCCTTAATGTAAAATCTCCTGCTACACTTACATTTCATTTTTACTTACTTACTTATTATTATCTTTTTTTGAGACGGATAGTCGTGCGTCTGTTGGTCCAGGCTGGAATGTTCCATTGTTTACGGGTGCGCGATCTTGGCTCACTGCAAGCTCCGCCTCCGCGTGCGTAGAAATGCCATCGTCCTGCCCTCAGCCCCTCCCAAGGGAGGCATGGGACTACAGGCGCCCATCGCCACGACCATTGCTAATTTTTTTTGTACTTTTTGTAGTGGGAGACGGGGTTCCACCGTGTTGTAGCCAGGATGGTCTCGATCTCCGTGAGACCTCGTGGATCCCCACCTCAGCCCCAAAAGTGCTGTGGTTACGGCACGAAGCGCCACTGCGCCCGGCCTTACTCTTTTATTTTTGTGAAAGACAAGGTTGACTCTTGTCATCCAGGCTGGTGATGGCAGGCGTCATGATCACGGGCTCGACTGGCCAGCCCTGACCTCTCGTAGTGTAGGTCCTTAGCGGGCCTCATGGAGTAGTTTGGGAAAGTGGAGTACCACCATGGCCAACGCTAATCTTTACTTTTTGTGAGAGGACAGTCATGTGGGCCCGCCATGTCTGCCCCAGGACTGGATATGCGAACTCCCTGGCCTGCAAGCAATCATTACCTGCCTCATGGTCTTTCCAAAGTGCTGGAGTTATAGGCATGGAGCCCCCGGCACCTGGGGCAATATGAGACCATTTTTAAGGCTTCTGATATGTTACTGCCAGATCATCTTTTTGGAAAAATGTGAAGACTGTTTTTTCTTTATTTTTGAGATGGAGTTTGCGTTGTCCCCCCAGGTGGAGTGCAATGGCGCCGGATCTCGGCTCCACTGCAACTCCGCGCTCCTGTGGGTTCAAGTGTTCTCCTGCGCTCAAGCCTTCCTCACAGGTAGCTGAGACTACAGGTGCCGCCCACCACACCCAGCTAATTTTTGGTATTTTTAGTAGGAGATTGGGAGGTTTCACCATGTGGCCAGGCTGGTCTCAACTCCTGACCTCACGGTGGATGCACTGCCTCGGCCTCCCAAAGT